AATATAGATCATACAATTTTCTTCTACTAACGTAAATACCTGGTGTGGCCCAGTCACAGAATTTCATTTTAGAGTTTAAAGAAACAGTTTTTTGTTTAAATATGCTAGCAAATTCTATGTTTATTTGTTGACATAAATATTCGTATTGCTCATTAGCATCATTTGAATTTTTAAGAAACCTAAGTTTATTCTTAATATTATTTTCAAAAACCTTTAAGCGTTTGTCCGTTATTGGCCTAAAAGTAATTTTTATGTCTTGTTTAACCCTATGGCGCTCAACAATGATTTTTTGTCCACTATGATCTGAATCCACCCAGTTAACAATACATTTTTGATATAAAACGCAATCAGAGAAAATGTTATCCAAGCAGGTAGCTGATAGGGGGTAATCCTAGTTGGTTCAAAGAAAGAATATTGTAGATTGAACGACCCAAATAAATTAGTAAATCTACTTGTATATGTACTAGAAACTAAAATATTTAAATTAAAATCCCCACAGACAACCATCTTTTTGTTATTTTTACTTATAATATTAAGAACATTTTCCATGGAAGACTCAAACAGATCATAGCTTCCAGAAGGGGGTCTGTATACACACACAATTATAAATTGTTCAAATTCCACACAAGAAATTTCTATCGTTCGTTCAATGGAATGTTTTACTATGTCTAATCTTTCTTTATATTTGATATTGTTTTGTAACATTATTAATGACCCACCTCTAATTGCACATTCCCTAGTAAATGCACTAACAATTTTATAATTTTCAATACAATCTAATAATTCATTTTTTTTAACCAATGCTCTGTGAGACATAATACATGGATATTCTGACTGTTTAAAAACAAAGAGATTTCTAGATTCTTTCCAGAAAAACCTTGTATATTCTGGTGTACTATTTTAAGGTTGCTAGAGGCCTTCTCTGTTGTCTTATTATTTAATTTAAATATTTAATTTGGGTCACACATTTATGTGCATCATAGTTAGATTGCTCAATAGGGGCAACTATTTCATGACTAATTTGGTCCAAGGGAGCACTGTCGGAACTCTGCTGCTGTATAAAGGCATTGTCTAACCTAATAATAGAAGACTGCTCAAATAAAGCAGATTTAGCAGCCAAGTTCTTGGCTGAAGTTAGTAAATAAAAGCTTAGCGTTACTGCTAATTGTTTTTTACCAAATTTAGATAGAAACAATCTATCCTTTCTCAAAAAACAAGCTGCTATCAACAAATGACAATTTATTTATGTCAATTATATTTATTTTGTTTGAATAATACGATAAACTATCCAATGTCACATTTAATTTGTATCTTAAATTATTTTCCTTCAGCGTCAAACTCTTACTATAGGGAAATGTAAACATTACAATGTTTTTAACTTCAACACTTTGAAGATGCTCAAATAGTTTTGTTATTGATTTCTTATTTGCATTCTCCCTATTTCCTATAATTATTATTAAATTGTCATTTTCTCTAAACTTAAATTTTAATATTTTTTCAGACATTTCATTGAAAGAAATGCCAGGCATACAATAATTGCTTACACTTTGCCCCATCTGGTTCATCGAAATGTATCCCAAATCTTTTCCCACTTCATCGCTAAACATAACATAATTACTGTTTTTTTTAAAGAAACATTTTCTTTTTGTTAACATCATTATTGAAGCTAAGCTGTTCAGAGATTGACGGCTCACACACTGACATAGACCATTCAAGTTGTTCCAAGGCAACCAGGCCTGGTGCCAGGGAATCCACCAGGTTAGTATTATTCAGGTGGTGATTGAGGTTCAGTGTGTATTCCCTCATGCTCCTCTTAGAAGACAATGCATTATATTTATGTGTAATGTTTGCCAGAGACTTTTGTAAGCACTTTATTTTATCATTTAATAATAATATATTACATTCATACATTTCTTGATTTTCCTTAATTTGTTTGGAATATGATTCTAACTTGTCAATTAATGCTATATGCTGTTCTTTATTTTTTAAGCCATTTAAATAGCTTTTTGTATCTTAATTAAACATTTTGTCTTTTTGATAAATTTATTGTGTTTAAAGTATTTCCTAAAAAATTTTTTTCCTGCTGCATTCAATACTCCTACCAGCTTCTATCTTGCTTGTGTCACTTAATGAGTAATTTAATGAGACAGCAGGATTTATATTGTATACTGCAGACACCATATCCGGAGCACCACTGACTAATTCCTCAAAAAGACTGTGGTTTTGAGAGGTAGTCCAATTTAACTTATCTGTTTCCAACTGACTTATGCAATTGTTTGCTTCTTGTAGTTGTTTTTCCAATTCAGCAATGTGCGTGAGGGTCTGCTCATACTCACTATTGCATTGGTCAAACCTGTCTATTACATACTGCAATTTATTCCTCTCATCGATAATATTTAAATTTTGAGTATGCAAATCAGCCATTTCTTTCTTTAAACTGTATCAGTATAAAAATTGTATACACAGAGAAGTGTTGGCATATAACTTCAACGTGCGACTCTCATGCCTGAAGTCGTAGGTTTGAGCCCCGGTTGGTGCACCAATGGTCTTTCTATGTGCGCATTTAACTTTCGCCCGCACGGTGAAAGAAAACATCAAGAGGAAACCGACTTGCCTTAGACCCAAAAAGTTGACAGCGTGAGTCAGGCACATGAGGCTCATCGCCTACTTACCTTATATTGACAAATGGTCATGAAATAGACACAGAAATCTGAGGCCCAGACCTAAAAATTTTTTGGCCCCCCCTTCGGGGGGGCTTTGGGGCCCCGGGGGGGGGGTGGGGGGGGGGGGGGTTTTGGCTCTTCTTCCGGTTTTTTTGGGGGGGGGGGGTTGGGGGGGGGTGTTGGGGGTAATACCTGCGGCTGGGGTTTGTCATCGGGGGGCGGGGGGGGAAAACACCATCCGTATCACCTTTACGTCCGTCGTTCCACAACTGAGCGTTTCTTAAGGCAATTTTTGCCACACACCACCATAATGTGGAACCAGCTGCCCACTGAAGTATTTCCGAACCAATTCGACTTGGGGTCCTTCAAGAAAAGATCGTATCCATTCTCAAAAGGCCGGCAGCGCGCTTGCGAGCCTTCTGGCGAGCGAGTGTCCATGGGCAGCGGTATCAGTTAACACCAGGTGAGCCCGTCTGCCTCCTGTAACATAAAAAAACAAATAATTTATACAGTTATGTGCCAATGCGGTGAAAAACCAATTAATTTAGGATGTACATTACAATTTAGAATTTCATTTTTAAAATCAGTCACATTGTTTATGGATTTAAATAATTCATTATAACTGAATAATATGTAAATATGCTTTTATCTACCAAACGCCAGGAACTTATCCTAATAATAGAGTTATTAGACGATACTCCGCTTCCTCATCTACTTCGGGATAAAAAGTTGGGGCGCGTGCTACTAAAACAGGAATAAATAGTGAAACCGCTAAAAATAGCCAAAGCAAGCGATAAAAACGCTTAATTTACGCGACACGCTGCTTGGTACGACACTTATGCTTTTTATGTGTTGTCTTTGAGTCAATATGAGGGCCTATTGAAGTACTTTGAGGTTGGTTGTATATACGAACAGAAACCAGTGACATTATATGATAAAAAATACCTCGAAACGATATATCATTATCTCATTAGACAATTAAGAGTTTAGACAATGCAGATACTATAATGCTAGTAATGTGTTTAGAAATAATTAAATAACTGCAATTTTCTTGTACATATTTATATCTTATTATTTAAAGTATATACGATTTTTCACTATAAAATATATCACAATCGTACAAATATATATGAGATTTCTTTTAAATATTAATAGTGTCAGCAGGTGATTAACAATATTAAGTCAAACTATTGAGAAACGTTTAGAAATTGAGGTCTTTTCTTTGTCCCTAGTTATGAGATAACATAACAAAATTATAACCGATTTAAGTGGTTTTATAGGCTATATACGTGAACAGTTTGTTAATTTAATTGTCAGCGTTAATTTCAAATTGTTGTCGCGGAAGGCTCTACAACAACAAATGTTAAAACGCGTTTGTCATTAATAATATGAGTGAAGACTGAGTGCGTTTTATTTGACACAAAATATGGGGTCAACGTTGATTTAGAGACTTTGACGGTCTTTTGCCTACATATGTAAAGAAATACTACTCGTATAGGTACACATTCATTTCAAAGTACATTAAATTTAAGACAGCGATTTAATAAATGTATTCAGTCACATCGTGATGTTAACCTATGAATCAGTAACTAGATTTACTAATAAGTTTTAGTTAACTGCAAATCGATGTATAGTAATTACTTATTTCATAATAAATCAAAGGATATTTAGATTTGAACTAATGTTAATTATGATTCTAGAAATTAATTGCATAACAATGTGTTAATTGATCGTTTTATCGAGTTAAATTTACATTGTAATTTACCTTGTATAACTACTAATTAACATAAGGTAAGTATATTTTTTTCTGCTATATTGCAAACAAAAATTGTAACTTGAATAGTTGCTTCCTTAGGTTTGGCCCTCAGATTTCTGTATCTGTTTCATGAGCATTTGTCAATATAATAACTTTCCTTCTGACATCTAATTTTTGGGTCTAAGGCGAATGTTTTCCTTCACCATTCTAGCGAATGTTGCGCACTTAGACAGAAAGTCCATTAGGTAGTGCACGGCCGGTGATCAAACCTACGACCTCAGGGATGAGAGTTGCACGCTGAACCCAACAGCGCTAAAAATACATTTAATATGAAACAATAGAAACTTCCCTGTCTAATGAGCTTTTTCCTATTATTTGATTACTTTTTAAATAGTCCAGGCTATAAAGGAAATATTTACAATACCTATAATTCATACTTTCAGCAACTTAATTACTATAATCATAATTAAGAGCATTGCGTGTTTCCTTAAAACCGTAACCGTCGTTAGTAGCTAAACCTAATTTCCAAAACACAAAGTTAATTAAAAAAACTCTTACACGCAGAGAAAGTTACATCTTTAATGTATCCCAAAACAGAAGGCAGGGATAGTAAATTTCTCGAATTAGTAAGAGAAAGCACCGACCCATACGGGAGCCGTAAACATAAAAAAGTGCTTATGTGTTCGTCCCGAAAAAACTACAAGGAACATAATGTAGTGGCCATAAAAATGCATTGCGTGCACGAGTGCAACGCGGGGGCAGGGGGCTCGAGACCCCTCCCTCGTGGGGTGTGTTTACCGCGCATAGGGGCGGCCGGCACGAACTCAGATCAAACCAGTGTTGTGGTAGGTCTCAACGAGAACGGTCGTATCACAGAACGAAATAAATCGCGGAACATGCCAACGTTTTAATCATTTGTCGTATTGGACGTTTAACAATTAGTTATCTGGTGTAAATGTTGTGAAATTGGTGTGAGATGGCCATATCGCTGCAATCATCGCAGAATTCTCGAGGTTGGTTTTTTTAAATTTATTTATTTCTAAGTGCATATTTAGTAGTAAGTTTGTATGCGAGTATTTGGCATGCGTGTATAATGCGCTATGATTGGGCGGTGTGACGGCCGCACACATGGGTTATTTGCATTTTAGACTCAGTCAAGCGTAGCCTCCCGCGAGTGAGTGCCTCGTAGCAATTCTACGCTGCCGCTACGAAATAAACCACGAGTTCTATAAAACTTTATTATGAAAGAAAATGTGAATATTAATACCGGTACACCGTTTAAGAAAAACCTCTTACAAACATTGCCAATGGTAAATATTAGAAAAAATAACACAGTTTTTTCTTAAGTCTTTTCTTAACTATTAAGCAGTTATTAGGTAACATTTGAAAGATGCTTATTAAATCAAAGTATGTTTTGAAACAGGATAGTTTTTAGTGTGATTTGGAAGTTAATTGTATTCCTAAAATTATAAAATTTCATCATACAAATGTTTACAAACAAACTATATCTAAATCTAAAATATGTTTTCATTTTAAAGAACTTTATACGTCAATATAAAAATTAATAACACAATTTTAACGAGAAAACATACTATATTCATTACTAGTTTGTTGTTGAAATTAATTGACATAGTAGTTACGCACACACGTAGTTTACACAATTATTAAAATAAATACTATAGGAATAATAAATATATATTTTTAATATCTATAAAATAAACGGTGCGTAGTTAAAAAACATATACTAATGTTTTTGACTTGAACAGTTTAATGTCCTTGCAGAACATATAGTCAGGGTTAGCAGAAGCCAAAAAAGGTTGTACTTAACCCTAAATAGCCGAAACCGTACGAACTCTAATCTCCAGCAGTACGTTACCTGACTCTTTAATCTCATTTAAGTTGGTTAGAAATTAGGCCGTTGTTTTGGTAACTTTTTTTTTATTTGTTCACAAAATTAGGAGAAAACACAGGATACAACAAACAAATTGACCTACATACACTTTTGAAGCCCTGTCCCTTATGCGGACACGACTAGCGAAATTAAGTACAAAAAACTATTAAAAGAACTAAACTATTTGATTCATGAATTAAATTATTGGTACTGTTTCCTAATTCAACTCTTGAAATTGTTAAACTATATTTTGACAAATCTCAAAGAAGTTATTGTGTTATCTATGTCCAGCATCCATTACTGACTTTTTTACTTAAAATTGTTACTTACAATATATATAAAGATAATTAATAGTTAATGATATGATTTAAACTTATAATTAAATCATATGATAACGGACGTTTAATTAACAAAAACAATTAACAATTCCTAAAATAATTGTTAAAACAAAATTTTATCTGAATAATTTTATTTACTGTCCGTAATTAATAATTACAAAGTAATATTTAAAAGTTATTAAATTTGATAACATTAATCAATTTAATGCGAACGAAGATTCAGTTTTTTATTGATATGAAAAATATCTATAAAAGCATAAACTTGATGTTATGTAAGAAGTAAAGTATGACAAAAGAAAACCATACCGTTATCAGTGAACCCTTGCGCAATGAGTTATGGAGTGGCAGACCGCCGGTGAGTCCATAAAAGTATTGAGTATGGGTTATTGACAAATATTTATGGCGTATAAAGAGCGGATAATTACAACTCTTTAACACATAAAAAGCGGTGATCGGAAGGGTGCGGTACCTTACAAAATTTATCGCGCTACCCGTCGGGGTTCACTATTGCATATACCATATTGACTGATTTTTATTATCCATTAAACATACTTCAATAGTCTATTATATCTTGAATCTTTTTGGTTGTTGATTTATTACTGGTGATATGTGATTATCTGTTTATTGTAAAAAAATTAATGTATTTTACATAAGTACCTAGGTACATTATTATCAAATGGGGCACTTTATAATTTAATTTGCAAATAATAATTAAAAAAAATAACGTGATATATATTTAAAGAAATATTCTTTAATGGATATAAACGCGAATTTTTTACATTTTATTTTGAGCGAGATATTTGCCTTTTAGATTGCCGCATCAAGTTGAACGATTGATTAACTACTTCAATTCGAGTTTCTATTTAAACAAACATAATATTATGCAAACTATCATATTTTAGATTTACTAGATAAAGAAAACTGAAACAATTACGTCATTTTTATTTCAGATTCCACCTTTAAAACTTCTTGTTCATCCCCGTACAAGCGATTATACGGTGTATCATTTTCAAAATTCATTCGAATTATGGAAATTTCTAAATAAGTAATATAATTACTATTATTAAAAAATATTGTCAATTTAATTGCAATTTTAACGTTATTCGTAAGTAATAAGTAAGTCGTTATAAATATACCTATAGAAATCGTAGATTCAATTTAAAGCGGCCGAAATTAATTCGACGTCTAAGTAGATAATGTAAGAACGCTTCCCTCCGCTCATCCTCTTCACGCCTCGAGGAGAACTTTCAATTATGATTTTGTCTAATTTTAATTAAGTGCTCTCAAAAGGCTTTTCTTCGTCGAAATTAATATTTGAATATAATTTGGGAGGAGCGCGGGTGGAGGCCGCCTTTGGAATAATTAATTCCATTATGGAAGACTGAGCATTCGCGCCTCCTTATTTTACCGGACTTGTATAATTTATGTATATTACTGCTTTGACGGAATAGAACAAAAATATCAGAAGTTTTACTTTATATTCTATTAAGAGACTTTCCTTTCATAAACTGCCATGAAATAAATAGTGCTATTTTATTAATATCGGAACATTTCCATGCTATGTTGTTCAGGAGGTAATTTGCGCAACAGGTCGGGGCGGAAGCGACCTGCAGCCGCGTGATTGCGACCAAATGTTTCCTCCGCTACGTCTGGCTTACACTTTTTGCCGTATTTTTTGCCTCCTCTCACTGATAAGTGTGCTATCGATAGGTTCGACTGTGCGTTTGCTTAGGTTGGCTGTAACCCATATCGGAAGTACGACACATTCTTCGACATGCAGTTTCAGCTGTTTATTTAGCCCATTTACATTAACTGCGTTTTTAAAAAATGAAATTCATTTTTAGAAATAAATTAACAAAGTTTTCTTTGTCGGCAGGTGTATCGGTAAGATCTCTATCAAGTATGCGGGAAGATACTTTGCCAATGCTAGCGGAGAGGCTGCTGGCCACGCGAGCGGCAGCGCTGGTGGCGGGTTTACCAGCTGAGCTGTACTCGAATGCTCTGTTGGCTGCCTGGCCTCCTTCTCCACCCCCACCGCTTTTGCCACCCCCTGCTCCTGAGCTGGATCGTGCCCGTAAACGACGAAGAACCCCTAAACTTGACGACACCGCCACTGCACCTCTTTCGCCACCATCATCAGGGTCGTCTCCCGGTGCCACCGATCCGCCTCGCGACAAACTGTTCACTTGCAAGGTCTGCTCCCGGTCATTTGGCTACAAACATGTTCTCCAAAACCACGAACGCACTCACACCGGCGAGAAGCCATTCGAATGCGGTGAATGTCACAAACGCTTCACAAGGGATCATCACCTTAAAACCCACTTGCGTCTACACACAGGAGAAAAGCCATACAGTTGTCCCCATTGCCCTCGACATTTCGTTCAAGTTGCTAACCTGCGACGACACCTGCGCGTGCACACTGGTGAGAGACCCTACGCCTGTGCCCGATGTCCAGCCAGGTTTTCAGACTCCAATCAGTTGAAAGCGCACGCTTTGGTGCACGAAGGAGATGCGCCATTCGCGTGCCGTTGTGGTGCCAGGTTTAGACGTCGGCAAGCGGCTGCTCTGCACCGCTGTCCCAGTAGCGGATGTGAACCAGGCACTCCCAGCCCGCCGGCCGCAGACTGGCGTTGGGACGATTGGCCCGAGCAGACGGAGCCGGAGGACCTGTCCCTTCCTCGCAGGCCAGCAACGCCGGACTCCCCCACTGACCTGCGCGTGCACTCCGCGTAGTGGGCGCGCACAACGGGCCTCTCGCCGCGCACTCATGAGCCGGTATACGAGTTCCTTTTGCGTAGAGCAGCGTTTTCGCCAATTTTTTACTTCGATGTTACCTCGCTTACTCGGCGTTTTTACCCTCATTAAAGTAATGCTCTATTTTTGTAATAATTTCCAAAGAAACCATTGCTCTAAAAAATTGTAACGGTCAGCTATTTTGCTTTTGTTTATTTCTCCGTAAGACTACTGATGCGCTTTAGGTAGCCGTCCTTTCTGTTTTTATGATAACGAATTCGCAATACTCTTGTTCAACCGTGTTACACTTTAAAACTTTATTGCCGTTCCATTTGCATAAGCGCAAGGGCTGCAAAAACGAGACACTTTTTGTTGTATTGTTCTGAACTGACGAAAAAATATGCAAAAGCAAATTGCATAATAGATTTTTTGATTTATGAGTTGACTATTGTTTGTTTTAACATAAAAAAGTTGTTCGTTACGCCGTAAACTAAAAATCTGTAGCTCTTCGAATGGCGATAACCGGAATAGGCTCGCGGATAAGAAGGTCGCGACATTGCCTTATTATTTCAGCGACAAAGGCTTGTTAACAATCGGTGATTAAATAAGTATTGATTCGGGCGGTAGTTCCGTTGGGTGGACAAAGACGAAGCTATTGTGTGAGCCCTCATCCATCGCGCCTCACGAGAACCCAACCGGGTTTTAATCACCCTTATTATAGCCAATTCTGGAAAAATTTCTATAACTATTGCGAAATGTGATCGTTTCAGTTCTTTTTATTAAATTTTAAACATTAAACAATGTAGAAAACAGCGATACACAACACGTGTAGGGGATAATTATTTGAGATCAATGGAGCTTTTACTTGTAAGTAGGTAATTATTTTATCGATAAAATCGAGGCAGCCCCGAGTAAGCGAATCACTATCGAAGGAGTCGAACGCAGCGTGCTTCTTTGTAAATATTGCTGTCATAAATTATTTATTATTTATCTGTTAGTACATAAATATTCACGTATAAGTCGTTTCGGTGACGATCGCTGTTAATAGAGAATAATATATGTAAATATTTAATCAAAGTGTATTGATAATAAATTGCGGATAACCGCTATATACCGTTCGTGGTTTCATATTATTGTTAGAATAAAGATTATGTAGTCTTATGACTATTACGTTATAAGTGAACACCAAAGCCATTTATATCTCGAATGAGATGTCTCATGAGGTAACAATTTCGATTGTGTACATTGTAAATGAGACCTTATTGGAGGTGCATATGGCTTACAATGGTGTTTTCGTGTCAAAGCTGCATTAATTATTGCAATTTGTTCTTACGGGTATTAGTTTCCTACTAGTTATAGTGTGATTTTTTTCGTTTTATTTTAGGACGTTTGTTCGAGCACACTACGATTGTAATTGTATTGATTGTTGATTATTATTATTTTATTTTCGTAAGGATTAAGGGTCTAGTGTATTAAGTATTCCCAAAGAAATTATCGGTACAAAAATTGATGTGTACAAATAAATGTCGACTAGTGATTACAATTAATGTTATATGGTCGTAGTTAGTTTAATGTTAGTCGTACCGGTCTACCTCATTTCAGACACAGGCAGGGTAAATAGCCAAAAACTTAAATATTTTCTATACTTCAACTCTATTGAGATCTCATATGTATAATTTACACACTAAGCTGTATGCTGAGACTGATATTACAACTACCTCATTAGAACGAAGGCTTTCTGCAATCATTTAAGTTCCTATTAAATATATTTGTTTAGTATTGTTTTTATTTAGTAGTAGGGTCCAAGTGTGCCATCGTAGGATTGTTTTGTGATACAGATTTCAACTGCCACTATCTACCTCATGTATAATCCGAATTAGACGTTCGTCTGTCATATTCTCTTGTACAAATAATAGGTTACGAATGTAAAATAATTAATAGTTATTGTATGAATTTATGTATTTCTTATTGATGTCCAGTACATATTGAGAAATAAACAGATGTTTGTTATTTAAACAGTTTTTCATTTGTTTTTTATTTATCCCTTGGACATATATGGTGTATTCCTTATGATGGATACGCAAACTGCATATTAGTCGAAGACCGTAAAGGTTCGATTTTCTTATCTTGTTTTTATTGGAAGGTTTTGGACACCTTTTGGTAACTACTTATATGTAACATACAGAAGCTATTATTAATATCTATATGGCTTAGTGGTCCGTAGGGTTGTTAAGTTCTTAGTTATCCCCGTCTTATATTTAGCTATCTAGTTCAGCCAGCACTAAATATGTTATACAGATACTCGTACTCCTGACATTGATGACATATAAATTTAACACACATTTCACAATCCACTAGCTGGCAAGTGTGCAACACCCATACTTATATCTATACTCATTATACTAACTTTATAAAATTATAAGATAGACAAATCATAGTGTAAAAAATTTGTAACATTGGAATAATACGGGGGCGCCATCTCGTGGTCCAGATGTGAATATAGGTTCATAAATATAGTATACAGTAGTGATAAATGAAACGATAGTTATAAATTCAATAACTTTTTCACAAGTATTATCTAGTTAAAAGTAAAAGAAGTAATTTAGGCTTAGTAAAAGTCCATACAGCTAATATATCTGCTACAATGATACAATATGAAGTGGTTATACTTAGATCAGCTTTATTGACGACTCATTGGTCTAACTCTAGTGGTTAGTACCCCTGACTGCGAATCCATGGGTCCCGGGTTCGATCCCCGGCTGAGACGAACATCGATGTGATGAGCATTTGTTGTTGTGCTTAGGTCTTGGGTGTTTAAATATGTATTTATATGTCTATCTATCTATAATATGTATGTATATCCGTTGTCTAGTACCCATAACACAAGCTTCACCAGCTTAGCATGGGACTAGGTCAATTGGTGTGAATTGTCTTTAAAAAAAAATTTAATTAAAAAAAATACAAATATTCGTTACTACGAGGTATAATGTTTTAAGATGCTTCACTGCTATAGTAAGTTTGACACCGCACACTATATATTCTGTAATACTCTATAGCATAGAGTATTTACAGATTAGATTAGATTAATATAGCATTAACAGCATAGAGTATAGAACAGAGAGTGTATGCTCTAAGTTGTTAATACTATAACCCTGTAATAACCTGTAAACTTGAAAGAATTTTGATCGTCGAAGCGTTATTCATAATAAAAAAAATTTAAAGTAGTGATTTCACGTAGGCTTTGATTTAAAACAAAACAATTTTTTCAAAGCATTGTCTCGCAATTTTAATGAATATCTTTTAAACAGTAGGAGAGGTAAAGCGTTGTAAGAAAGCGGGCGAATTATAATTTATTTGGAGAAGTGGCAACGAGCCCCCGCCCCGCGTCCCGCCGCCCGCCCTCGCCGCCCGACCTACCCTTTGCTTTCGCCCTTCGTTACCTACGCACTCGCAAACGGTTGCAACTCGCGAAAGAAAATATTTCAAATTATACAATTTATTTTGTGATCAATATGCTTTATTATTAAAATTGACTATTGAAATAAATAGATGGCTGATCCAATGCCCACCATATCACACAAAAATTTTATAATAAAAAATGACCATTTAATGAAGTATTAATTTGATAATGTTCATTAGTATTAACTAACGCCAATTGCTAATATAATGATTATTTAATATGTATAATTACGAATTTAATTGGTGTGATATGAGGAAAGAGTTATCTAATTGTATTTATAATTATGCACATTGACAGACAGACAATGATATCACATTGGTATTATTATCCTATAAAGCAAATTTATTTTTACCACTAGTATATAAGCGCAATATGCATTGTGGCAATATGTAAACAAAATATAAAGGACGAGCACATGGTCGAACGTCCGCCACCTCCCACAGACAACAACGGAAAATCATGCCAAGTTACATTCTAGGAACTATTCTTTAAAATTTGGCAACGGAAAATTAAGTTACACTTATCACAAATTGATCTTTGCTTTTCGCACACAATAAATGTAAATGTTCTGTTATCAGAAAATAAATAATAATTAGATTATTTTTAATTAAGTTACAACACTTCGGCTTTCAACTTCATACTTTCTGTTTTTTCTTAGGTAGGTTGTGTTCAAAGAGCTGACGGGGTTCGGGCGACGGAGGGAGCGTGGAATTAAGAGGGAGAAGGGGGGCCCGCCCTGGATACTGAGAGGAGTTTTAACCAATTAATTTTGTTCCTCAACGCAAACTCTGCTATATAATAAGGTATAAGTAGGCATTAACTGAGGCGCGCCGATAGCTGGCCCGACCGGGGGCGACTTCGCTCTTATAATGTTTTATTTCTTGTTAAGCTCTCCGTTTCTCCACTTTTAATATTTAATAGCGCTTTCATGGCTCGTGTTTTATAGCGCACTTACAGATTCCTCAATCTTACAATCATTGCTTAATCGTTAAAATTACATGAATATTAATCATCGTCACAAACAATAAACATTTCGAGGGTATATACGAATATTTTTTTAATATATCAAACGATAGGAAATTATCTTGAACGAGTTTTGTACGTGTCCAACCCCAATTGCGTGGGGTAGATGTTATTGCGTCTGTTTAATTTATTGGTTAGGTAAGTAAATTAGTTTTTTTGCTGTAAATCGAACTCGGGACTGTCAAATGCTTTAACTAAGCTAAGAAGGCAGCCGAGTTGAATTGTTCACAAACACTTTGTATAACATTCGGTGTAAGACAAATTAATGCAAAGTCATAAATAACACATATGTTGCATTGAATTTCATCCGCGGATCCATGACGAAAAGGGTTTCACCCGAGGCGGAGAGATTTAAAAAAACTCGCGCGCGTCAAGATGGCGCGTTAAAAAACATTCCGTTGGAAATGTTAAAAAACAGAGATGCACCCGAAAAAATAAACCGCAGAATAGGTTAAAAAACGAAGTGCAGCACGCGAGTCGGGCGCGAGACACCCTTTCCCTTTTGTGGGACGCGAGC